AAATACAGAAGGAAATCTTTTATATTGAAAGGAAATGACAAGAACAAGTAACTAAAATCCACTTAAAGAAAAAAATAGTACTGAAATATAATTATGTAGGCAAAAATAGAAATGGTATAAATATATAATAAAACTCAATTTAAGAGGGAAGGGAATAATAAAGATTAGAACAGAAATCAATGAAATAGAAAATAATAGAGAAGGTGATTCTTTTAAAAGATCAACAAAAGTGACACAACTTTAGCTAGATTGACCAAGGAAAAAGTAGAAAAGATGAGATTACCAAAATCAGGAATTAAATTAAACTCCATAGAAATTTAAAATATTAAAAGGGAATACTGTGAATAAATATATTCCAAGAAATTTGAAAACTTATATAAATTGGTCTAATATGTAAAAATGCACAAATTACCTAAACTGATTCAAGAAGAAATAGAAAATCTAAGTAGACCTATAAAATTAGAGATAAAATTAAGTCACCCCACAAAGAAAACCCTGGATACAGAGAGCTTCACTGCTTCCAATCCAATATTTGGAGAATAAATAATACCAATCTTTCACAAATTTTCCAAAAAAATAGAGGAAGAAGGAAAACTTTTTCAATTTATTCTATGAGAACAGTATTAATCTGAAACCAAAGTCAGACAAAGATTTCTGAGGGGGAAAAAAAAAAGCAGCAGTAGTATCCCTTATGAACATAGACACCAAAATCCTCAACAAGATATTTACAGAGCAAATACAATAATCTGGGAAAGTATTATACCCCAGACAAGTAGGATTTAGCCCAAGAATGCAAGGTTGGTTTAACATCCAGTAGTCACATGACCTCAACAGAGACACAAAAACCATTTGAGAAAATCCAATTATCTACTTGTGACAGTAATTTTCAATGAAGTAGGAATAGAAGAGAACTTCTGTAACTTGTTAAAGGGCATCTATGAATATCCTACACCTAATACCATACCTAATGGTGAAAGATTGACTGGTTTAACTCCAAGACTAGGAGCAAGACAGGGTTGTCATTATCTCTTCTATTCAACATTGTACTCTAATTTATGTTCAGAAAGATACAAACAGAAATAAAGAAAAAGAAAACAAAAGGAAAGAGGAAAGCAACAGAAAAGAAAGAAATCAAAGGTACCCAGATTGAAAAGTGAAAAAATAAATAAAATTTTATTTGCATAAAATATGTAGAAAATCTTAAGGAATGCATTCACACACACACACAAATTAATGAGTTCAGCAAGTTCACTGAATACAAGAACTGATTAATATCAATTGTATTTATATATACTACCAACAAACAATAAAATTAAGAAAACAGTGATTCACTACAGCATCAAAAATAATAAAGGCATTTTTTGTAGAAATTGACAGGCTGATTTGGAAATTTATATGAAAATGCAAATAACCCAGAACAGTAAGAGAACTTTGAAAAGGAGAGCAAAGTTAGATGACTTACACTTGTGGTTTTAAAACTTACTACAAAATTCTAGTAAAGAAGAGAGTATAGTACTGGCATACAGATCAATGGAATATAATTGTAAGTTCAGATAATTAACTTTTAACATTGTTGGTCAATTGGCATTGACTATGGGTGATGAGTACATGGGAGTTCATTTTACAATGTAGCTCTCTATTCTTGCATATATTTGAGATTTTTCATAATAAAAATTTTTAAGTGACAAGAAAAAAGAATAAGAGAAATGATTAAAATATTACAATTTGCTCTCTATACTGACCACAGAAAAGGACTTGTCTCTTAAAAATCAAATCTGAACAGTGTCAGAATGAATAAATCATAGAGAGGTGAGTGAACTCTCAAAAACAATCTGAGCAAGAGACAATGGATGGTGAATAGATGGGATAGCATTTAGAGAAGTGCCTGAATGCTTTGTTATTGTCTCTTTCAAGTTATGTGGCATAGTGATGCCTAAAACTCCTATCTCCAGGAGGATTTTACAAAGTGGAGTGTGGTCAAACAGCCCTTTATTTCTAGTCAGTGTAAAGATCTATAGTTCCTCACCCCCTTTCATTTATTTTTTTTATTGTTTAGGGACTTTGTTTTTTGGCCATGTGCTTACAGTCTAGGTTACCATAATATAATGCATTTATTGCTTCTCTGGAAAGCCATTCAGAGTCCCTAACTAGTGCAAACCATACAGCTCTTTTGCTAACTGGTCTCTGCCAAGAGAAGCATTCTTTTGAGCTTTGTAATTTGCATTGATTACTGAGTTGTATACCAGTGTATCACTGGGTGTTGACTAATCTACAAAGTCTTACATAGTTTGGTCCTGATGAAAGAAGTTTGACACTGGTAGTCAATTTTCTAATGACTGAGACTGGTCTGAGTGACTTGAAAAGATTTAACAGATTTTGGAACCTGAAATATCAGGAACAAGTTAGTCATATTGATGACCCATACTCCAGAAATCTATTTTAAAGGTGAATTCAGCAAACAATACTGAACTTGGTGGGGTGAGGGGTGGGGGCAGGAAGTTGAAAAGTAGACGATAATGCCAAAAATAAAGTTCTAGTTCTAACTTTATGATCTTTAATCTAATCCAAAATGCCTTTAGAAAATCTCATTCTTTGATGACCATTCTTCCAAACATTTTCTACCCAATCCTTAACTCCACTACATAGTGAGAGTTAATGATTTTCTCATGAAGCAGATATGAATAGGAACAGCCTTCAAAGACAACTGGTCTCACTTCCAGGGCCATCTTTGGGCCAAGATACGTAGTCGCCAACAGTGAGTTGGCGACTGTGTTTTTTGAGTCCTGGCGCAAAGTAAGATCCATCTGTTTTGCCCAGCCGTTTGCCTGAGTGCCACAAAATGGTCCTGTTATTAGTCTGATTTGTGGTCCTATTTGAGGTTAGGGGATAATGTAAATAAACTTCAGTCCTGCTTGTGATGAATGTAACATGGGAATTAAAAGTGGTGGTGTCGGTAGTGGTAAGTGATGTTGCGTCTCTATTTTCTCAATTGCTCTGTTTTCTTTGGATTGGGAAACAGACATTTAAGAATGAGTTTGTCATCTGGAAGGATAGTTGTGACCAAGTTTCTCTCAACAGGATACAAGATGTTATTTTTGAGCTTCATTACCCTCACCAAGGGGAAAAAAAGAGAGGGAAAAAATAAATAAGGAAGAAAGTGAAAGTGAAGAAGAAAGTCAGTGAAGTGAAGAGAAGGGTCAGAGAAGAAGGGGGAATGCTGGTGAGGAAAGGTAGAGAATGTCACTTAGACTGTCTATTCATAGAAATGGCTTTATTATTTTGAAGTGATAGTTCAACTCACTCCACATCTGGTGAATCAAGAAAAAGGAAATCTGACTGATTAAATTAAGCTGCTAGTTGTCAGTTAAATCATTTATATATAAATATGCAGCCTAGTTTCCATCACCTTTTCTTGTCTGAACTAGACAGTGAATCAGCTTCACTAACCGAATTTGAGTGGTGAGTAGAACAATACCAGTTGGTGATTCAGATTTATGTAGAGGTGAGCAGTTTTTATATTTCTGAATCAGTTATTGGGGTTTATTGTTATTCTCTATAATTTCTGATTCTGAGTTATTTTTGTCAGTTTCTTTTATAAATGTTTTTTTGCCTTATAAGGATATATATGCACTCTTTTCCTCTCATTCACTTGTCCCTGGTGACGCCTCCATAATTTCTGTCTTTACACTGCTACATTTTTAGTCTAATTCAGGCATGTGAGAAACAGGGGAAAAGTTTAGTCAATGTCAGTGATTTCTTTTTTTTTTTGGATCCATTCATGGATAGATTTAGTGAATCTGAACCAATTTGCATTTAAAATCTATATACATCAAATAGACACAATACTCAAAATATTCCTCCATATGTTTCAAGGGGAAAAAACAGAATTTACAAGTGAGAACTAGATGCATTTCCTAATAAAAGATGCAGTTTTAGGGATGATTTATGATCATGCTCTCATATGTGCGACATTAAAATATTGTCTTGCACTAATGTGAAGGTGGACATAAGCATACCACTTTAGTTTTACAAGTATATAAAAAATGCATTGCCAAGACGTAAAATAAAAGAAAGATAATTGTATTGTCTCCATATTACATTTAAAAAACGATATATTTCTAAATCATGTCATGTCAGTTATTTAAAACTAAAAAACAAGGATGGCTTCATCCAATCTGTTATTTTAAATAACTATTACCTTTTTTATAGAAGGTGTTATATGAAGAAAGGATTGAAAAAATAGTGTGATGTTTAAAGCCCAAATATTTATGACCTACTTGAAGATTTTAATGCTTGGACTCTTAATTTGAAGACTAAAAGTACATGTAAAAATGTGATTACAGTTATTTAAACAAGGAGATCTGGTTCAAACCCTGATGGTCTTCCCGAGTTGCTTCAAACAGCAATGGCTGCATATGATAAGATGTACAATATGATGTGGTATGGGACATGCTGCCCACAGTGCATTGCAGTGGGCATTTTGTATTGCTAAATATGTCCGTTCACCTCCACTTCACCATCTCTCCGACCACCAGTTCACTCATCTGAAAGTAGTGGATCTAACATTGTTTTTTCCAATTCTATTTAAAGTCACGATTTCCCTTCATGTGATCATAGATTTTCTTCTTTATTCTCTAAAATTAACATTTTATGTAATCTTTAGGTTGTGAAGTTGTTTGGGTTTTTTTTTTTTTTTAACCAGATAGAATATTGTTAAAATTCAGAGGCACTGAGCTTCTAGTCATATCATTATGAAGTCCTTAACATGGAGGCATATTTTGTTTTTCAGAATTGTCTTTTTTTTTTCCTCTTTAGATCCTTTTCTTTTCATTAAAAAACTACTCTGGGAAGAGAGGTTTTTTTTTTTTTACAGAAAAAAGAAGCCACGCTTGACTGATAATGCATTGCTTTGGATGGTGAAACATTATGAAAGTTTAATTTTTAATTAAATCTGAAATACCAATTATAACTGAAAGAGATTTTAACCTGTTTCTTTTCAGACTGCCTGAAGTTACATTTAGAGACTGAAATCACTGCACCTTAAAAACAAAAGATTGAGCTGCACTGCATCCCCGTAAGTGAAAGCTTCCTGCACCTTCCTCTGTGTTTTGGTGACCAGTTCAATAAAGGACAAAAAATATTGGTAACATAGTAACCAGACAGGTAAAAATTTGAATGTCCCTGAAGAAATACATGTTTAAATAATTTTCTTATTTAAAAAAAGAAAATTTGTTGGGCTCAATATTCAGTATGTCTTTTTTATCCAATTGTGAATCCTTCCTTTTGACTGGTTTGAATTGTGTTAGGGCGTGTGTCACCCACCGTGCAGCAGCACAGTGACACGTACCCTGTCAGGAAGGATTCTTGCATTTTTGTACCAGTCTCATTGTAACATTTCTTATGGATTCAAAGTAAAGTCATTTTTTTGGTGATGTCATTAGCCTCTGTGTCAATGGAAATGCATTTTTTTGGTGATGTATTTAGCCTCTGTGTCAATGGAAATGCAGAGAAAGTTCATGATGACATCACAAGATTCTGCTGTCTTGAGAACTTTGGGCAAAACTAAGTAAAATGCATAATTCCCTTGTGTGCGTGTGTTCCCCATTCTGCTGTGAAGCAGTCAAAATAGCACATCTTATGTCTTCCCGTGAGCTACAAGGCTGTCTCTCAGAGCCCCATTGTTCCATAAATGCATGTCAGAGTCTACCACAGTCTGGTCTCCCCTTATTTAGCTGCTGTTTTGTCAATGTACTTGGAAGAACAATTAACATTTGGGATTTCAATGTCTGAATAACAGGCAGTGAATAGAACCCGAGCATATAAAAGATTCAGACGCCCAGTGTAAGAAAACTGAAGCTTATCATTGGTGGGGGAAAAAAGAAAAGCATTTTAATGCTGCACTCAAAGGTTGTGAAATACTACAAGGAAAGTTGATTAGGGTTTTTTTTTTCTTTCTTAATTTTAGATCAAAATATACATGTTGGTAATGATATCCAGAAGGTTATGATGTCCTCCTACGTTTTGCAGTTTAATGTATTTCAAGGTCTTTTGCTAGTATATCTTAAAATACTTAAATAACATTCATCTATTTTAGTCATTGTTGGGATGCCAGGTGTGGGGTGTACTGCATCATGGATTTCAGTGTCACAGTGCCTGTCCAGCAGAGTATACTGAAAAGGATTCACACAATTTCTATCATTTTCACTTTGGGTTCACTACAATCTTATTATTTTTGACTATAATTCTTTGTGTGTTGACTATTGACAGTCCTGAAGTTGTTAAATATCTCTGCCTCTTGTTTGAATTTCTGCTCAGTCCTTTTTTTGGAGAGATGATGCATGGACAGAGTAATAGCACCTTACTGTCAGGATATCCAGAGGGAACTTTGGCAGCTTATGCGTGTTGCCCACTGCGCTCAGTGCCTAGCTGATATGAGTGAATAAATGATGGTTATTGTTATTTTCATCATAACTATAATAGTCCTAACCCGTAGATGGTAAGGTCTCTAAAAACAGGTCTATTTTTTATTCATTTTTGTAATCTCCAGAGCTTGGCATAATAATAGTAATCAAGAAATAGCTGTTGTTATTTGTACAATTACAAAATTTATTAAAAATCAGAACTTTAGGATTCATTCTGTCAGAATTTATTTATTTTTTTGTGAAGAGGGGTTGGATAAAATTTTTGACAGAAACATAATTATGAAGGAATTTGTCAAAGACAAACCTACTGTTTATCATATCATATTAGGCACCTGTCTCCCAGTTATTCTACTCTTTGACTTTACACTAATTTCTCCTGGCCAAAATGAGACATTCACATTTTTTTTGTCTGTGAAGTTGTGTTCAGTAGTTTTCTAAGCTGTGTGTCCTGATCCCATACACTGTAGTTGTCTCCAAAGATAACTCTTCCTGACTCAAGATGGATGATGCTCTGCACCTGTCTAATTGTCATGCAGTGATTGCACTTCAAGGAAATAGGGCAAATGGTACAATAGGTGTTGGGTCAAAAGGCCAGGAATTTGGGAAGTTGCCATTAGAAGCTTACACTTTCAGTGCATAAAAAGCCAGGACCAGTTTCTCAGCACTAATAAGACCACAACATTCTTTAGAACGAAGAACCCTTTGCCCTCTCCTAAGTTTAGCTTCCTGGTATTTTTTCTCTTTTTTTATAAGGTTCTCTGCCCTCCCCTACCAATTTTAATTTATTTCCAAAAGGAGTTCCTTTATTTTTATTAAATTAGCTTCTGGTGATGCAAATTAAGGCTCTCATAAAACTTAGCCTCTGAGGCAAACCTAAAATGATAAAATTTAGGTTAAGTGAACAGTACTGTTATTATGTTGAATAACATTGAAGGTTATCAAAGAACTTAATAAACATTTCACATATTTAAAGTTAAAAATTGAGGTGAAAGGGATTTAAGGGCAGAGCATCATCAAATACTATCGGTAGAAAGGATATAAGAAATAAAAGGTCAATCATCTTGTTTTGAAATAAGTAAATTTGAGGCCCAGTGTAGGGCATCAATTTGGGAATTATCAATAGTGAAATAATTGAAGTCACACTGCTGAAAAGCAGTGTCAAATCATGGGAAGAGTATGAATGTGGAGTTTTACAAACATATTCATATCCATATTGGTCGCACCAATGTAGATCATCTTTAGCCATGGAGACCTGAGAGTAGTCCCTCATTTAGAGTCTAGGGTTTTGATGTTTACTTTGTACTCAGGGATTGAGCAGTGTTTCCTGAGGGACAAATTGCCTTTGGCTCATTTTATGAAACCAATTGAACTGTATTTCTTTCTACCATGTAGTCCAAAATTCATGTATAAAGGGGTATTCTGAAAACATTTATGGTTATCCAAAAAGTTTTTTCCCCTGTACATTTTTATATCATGCAACAAGTCACATAGAGGTTAATTTGTTTGGTTGACTTAATATTCTTCATGATGATTTACAAAGTGGACAAAACACCATAGAAACTTCAGTAGTTTAATTGGGTTTGGATGCATGATAATAACAGCAACCAAAACAGAACCCTTGTAACATGGAATTTAGACTTCCCAATAGTATGCATCACACATGGTGTCACCAGGGGTTATGTCCATCAGAGAAAAGTTTTTTAGAGCATGAAAAATGAAATAAACTTTAATAATTTAAAATGAAATACTTGCTCTGGTCTTTTATTTCAGGTTTTCTTTATTGGATTCTGTCATTTAGCAATCCAAAGTGACCAGTGTAGGAACGTTTCTATTATTTTGTCCAGAAGTAAATCCTAGATACATCTTAGTTTCATCCTCAAATCTATTTTATCTCCTCCAGACTTTTTCACCCCCCTACTATGAACAAGCTCAAGTCACTGTATCCAAAAAGTTAGTGACCTAAGTCTTTGTGTCCCAAAAAAGGAGACCAAATATTCTGCCTTAAAAACTTCCATGGAAGATTTGGCATATACAGATGAAGGGAGAATTGAGGTACAAGGATGCCCAAGTAGGGCCTTGGAAGTAGGTACTCAAAAAAAGTTTTCTCCTCAGACTTTTCCTCTCTTTCCTATATGATAATGAATTAAAATTTCTTCTATACCTCTTATGAATGAACCATTTCACCAGGATACATAGATAAATAACACCTATTACCTATCATTAAGAAATTTATAATCTACTTGAGAAATAGATAAAAATCTTTTTATAGACAAAATGTTATGTGGGTAGAGTAGAGGAAATAAATGGTTATTATTTCTTGTGGACCATCAAGGGATAACATGACATTAACAAGCCGTCCAAGCAGAGGGAGTAATAAAAATGAAAGATGAAGGAACAGTGAGTGGTAATGTTGTGATGTGAGTGTAGGATGCTGGTTGAAGACAGTGTTTTCCAAAGTGTGGGTTGCAGCCCATTCATAGGACATGAAATCAGTTTAAAGGATCAGAGTTAATGTGCTTTTAATGAAATAGAATCAAGGGAAAAATAAATTACAAAAACTTTGTTACATATTTTAAGGTAACGACTATAAAATAAATATAGTATTTGTTACTGGAAATCATGCCACCAAAATATAAAAGCAAATCTAAACATGATAGGTATTTTAAAATTCACATGTAATCCTCACTAAGAGATAATACTATTTTTGCCTTCTTATATATGAGAAGATAGAGGGATTAAGCCATTTGTTCATGTAATACAAGAAGTAAATGGTAGAGATAGGATGTGAATATGTCTGTCAAACTCCACATTAATACTCTTCTCATGATTTGACACTGTTTTTCAGCATTGGGTGACTTCAGTTATTTCATTATTGATAATGAACACATTTGTATCTCTATCCCCGATATCATTCCCAAACTCCAGTCCTAGATCTACAATATCCTTATTTAAATCTTCAACTGAATATCATACTAGTTTCTCAGAGTCAGTATATCAGCATTGAATTTATCTGCCTAGTTAAAAATCATTCTCCTTTTGACTTTCTTAACTTTTTTCACCCTAATTCTTCAGGTCTCTTGGATCAAAATACTGTGTTTGTTTTTTGCCTCTTTCACCTCCTTGCCTCCTCACACGTCCAATAAGTGGCCAAGTTTTGTTAAAATAGGTTCTTTGGGACCTCTGTTCTAGTCAGGCTTTTATTCTCCCTTGCCTACAATAATCACCTAATTGGGTGAGACAGGAATAGGGAGACCTGCTTATCCTAAACACTGGTGCCCCATTAGGTTTTCTGAAACAGGAGCCCCGAGATCATGTCACCATTTTTCAGACAAAACTTTAATAATTCTTTATTAATTACTGAAAAATTCTCAACCAATATTTGTGTTATTATAAAACCTAATTCTAACTCCATTTCTGACTTTCATCTTATGGTGTAACATATCATAAACTCAGGCCAAATTCCCTCATCACCTGCACTAGTGTTTTAGGTATTGTTTGTACTAATTCCATGAAACTTTCCTTCCCTGACTTGGTCAGAAATAATCAACCCTCCCCTACTCACCAAGCTCAGCACCAGCAATTTGATTTTGAACTTCTAGCCTTCAAACTTGGGGGAGAATAATTTTCTATTGTTTTAAGTCAACAAGTTTGT